AGTTGCCTTGGTCATGGTATGTCTTCACAGCAATAGAATAGTAACTGAGAAATGCTGTCTCAAAATATTGTTGTTTAAGATAGGGTCTCTACATAGCCCTGGCTGTCCTAGAACTATGTAGACCAGACTAGCCTTGAACTCAGATCTGCCACCATGCTCAGCCTTCAAAATAAATTAACAAAAAAAAAAAAAAAAAAAAAAAGCTACCTAGCCAGACATGGTAACAGGCCTAGAAAACCAATACTCTGTAGACAGAGGCAGAAGGCTCTCTCAATGTCTACACATCGGAGTTCCAGGGCAGCCAGCGCTAAATAACGAGACCCAGTCTCCAAAATTCCAAAGTGGAGGAAGGCCGGGATGTATCTCAGTGGCAGAACAGTAGCATGGACACAAAGTTCTGGGTTCAACTGCCAAAAGCACAAAGCAGAAAATACAACAGGGACTGAAGAGATGGCTCAACGGTTAAGAGCACTGGCTGCTCTTCCAGAGGACCTGAGTTCAATTCCCAGCAACCACATGGCAGCTCAGAACTGTCTGACTTTAAGGATATACTTTGCTGAGTTATAAACTCAAGGAATATATGCAAATATTGGAGACTGTTAAGTTTTTGTTGGGTAATTGCATGATGCTATGAATAAAGAAGTTTATTGAGGGGCTAGAGAGATGGCTTAAAGGTTAAGAGCACTGCTGCTCATCCAGAGGACCCGGGTTCAATTCCCAGCACCCACATGGCAGCTCACAATTATCTGTAACTAGCTCCAGGGAACCCAATACCCTCACAGAGAGACATACATGCAGGCAAAACAATGCACATAAAAATAAATAATAAATAACTTAAAAAAGTTTATTGATATTAGTGTATGAATGAGCTGCAGAAGAAAAAGAAATGACAAGCAGAATATTTATACATTTATTTATAATGAAATTATGGTCTAATTATTTACAACACAGAGGAAACCAGAGAATAAGTTTGTACAAAGCCAGCCTCCAAAGTATTCAAAAATGTGCAAAAATGACAGTCAGTATCTCAGACACTCTTGGCTCAGCCAGCCACCAACCAGTTCCTTCACTTCCACACATCAATATTTGATACAAAAAAGTTCTTTTGGCAAAACCTGCAATGCCAAGAAAAAGGACACGTTGCAATTCCAGTCGGAGTCCACCATCCCACCGGAGTTATCAAATCTCTATTTTTGCAGCAAGCAGTTCAGAAAGAGACAGATAACTGTGTTTCATTTCTGTATTGAGTTCTGAACAGCTCTGACCAGCTTTTAGTCACGTTTTCTTTGCCCCAGCTGAAAACAAGGAGCTTAGGAGGGCAGTAAAATAGCAATGGCCACCTGGAACAAGTGTGCCAAAAGGTGCCAACTTTGGACCATCCCAATGAAGAACAACGGGAAAATAACCATTTCCTATTCCGGATTCAGTTGCACCTGACCATTCTAAATTAGTACAACAGCATTTTCCAAAAAGAAAGAATCCAAATGGAAAGAGGGTTGAGGAGCTCTTAGAATTCAATGTAAGTACTGGAAGAAAGGGTCTTAAAACCATTTCCCACTAATAAATAGTAAGGCTTTGTTTGTAACCAGTTATTATCAAAATTGACCCAATAGTAGTAAAATACAAATAAAACTTTCTTTACAACATAGTTGAGGCTATTCATTTGGAAAAGGCTAGACCAGGTCAGACATATGTGGCAATGACTCAGTCCTGATGTTTCTCTGGACAAGCACATTTCATCAACTGGTAAAAAGCTTGACGCAAATTTGTGGTTCTAAGTGAGTTTTAACGGATATTACGCCACTGCAGAAATAGGGTTTTAAAAAGAATGGGGTCCCTTTATGACAGGGGACACTGTGTCCCTAACGTCTTCAAGGTCCAAGACGGCCCCCAGAACAGGTCCCAGAGTCTTGTTTAATCAAGTGCATGCATTATTGCTAAGAAGAGTCACTGAGCGTCAAAGGTCTGCCCACTGTTTCTTATGGGGCCATCCAGAACGGCATCTGCTGCTTGGCTCTTGGCTGCGATGAAGGGTACTGATAACCCAAACTCCA